CTCCGCTGCAGAGTGGAATAGATCTTCACACACATGTGCGACTATTTTTAAAATGTTACATAAATGCTACTGTAATTACCAAACCCCAGTCATTCAAAAGCATTGCTGAGCGGATGGCAGCGTTTGATCAATGTTTTTCTTCGTCAACCAAGAGATGCAGACCCACCTTTCCTCTCCTTCGGAGGAGCTGGGTGGTTCTTTTTTAACATTAAAGGGGATATTTGCTCTCCACCAACACGTGCCAGCAGAGCTGGCCATGGAACGTGACTTTGTCTCAGGAAGGGGAACAGAGTTTTGGTCATTTCGGCCCCACAGGGGAGAGGCTCAGGCAGCACCCACCCCCAGCCTTGTAAGAAGCAAGTCAGACACCTGGAAGCCAGTGGGCACAGCTGTGTTGCAATAAAACTTTATTGACACAAACAAGGGGCGGGCCAGACTTAGCCCATGCACCATCGTTGGCTGGGGCCTGTTTAAAGGGTGCAGGGAAGCAGCCTGAGGCAGCAGGGGTCAGTGGCAACCTGCCCGTCTCAGAAACGCTGTGAGGCTGATGGGGGAAGCCACCTGGCCGACACACAACTTCCCTCCCACATGTGGACTAACCCAAGTGAGTCTATGTGTCCCCCAACACACAGTGAACGAGCCCAGCTGAGCATCAGGCACACGGGACAAGCAGCAGGGGGTCCCTCTGAGCCGGTGCTCACTGGGGCGAAGACAGGATGAGCTGGGGGAGGGGCTGGACTGGCCACAAGGTCACCCCGGTCACCTGCTGCGCGATGAACACACGCAGCCCCTCCTGCCTTCGGCCCTGTGGCGCTTCCCCGGCCATGACCACGGCCCCTGCGCTTGCCGAGCTGTGGGCTCCGCTGTGTACTGTGACACCCCATGATACTCGTGTGACCATCTCACGACACTTTGCAAGCCCCACGTCCCTGCCCATCAGCAGCACAGGACCATGACTCTGTGCCCCAGAGAAGCCGGAATTCCCCGTCCCCGACCTTCCTGCAGGCCGCTGGAAGGAACACACAGAGCCCACCAACAATGACCGCCCAGCGCCGGACACTGACACACCAACCAACGCTGACCGCCCAGGGCCTGGCACAGACGCACCAACCAACACTGACCACCCAGGCCAGCACAGACGCACCAACCAATGCTGACCACCCAGCACCCAGCTCGGTGGCCATATCCCGCAGGTCACTGGCGCCCACTTAGCACGATCAGACAGACGGACTGATGAGCGACACTGTGACTGGCCCGCAGGCTGCCCCCATCTCACGCTTCTCAGCCCCCACTCGCCCCACCCCCCTCACCTGCTGCATCGCCCCTTCTGCCCCTCCCAGCTCCTGCCCTCCTGGGGGCCTCTGCAGCCTCCCAGGCACGCTGCTCCCTTGAGCACTCTCCCCGCCTGTCCTCTCCCTCGCCCTCTCATTTTATTGCGCAGGGAGGCTGGGGCCACGCCCAGCAGTGCTCCTGGCTCAGAGAGGGCCTGATAGGCTCAGGGATGGAACTCAGGTCATCTGTGTGCAGGAAGACCTCTCTCTGGCGCAGCAATAAAGCCATTTAAAAAACCATGTCTGGGACAGTAGCAATACCACGGTGACACTAACACCTGAGCAATTCCTGGCGAAATCATGACGTTTCCATCCGCACCAAGCCCCTACACTCCTTTTCCCAGCCCTGCACCCCTGCCCCATGCCCGGTCGGCAGGGAGCAGGCAGCCCACAGCGGCAGGTGGCCCGGTCAGAGGGAAGGCAGGAAGTGCGGGCTCGCCGGGCGGGGCTGGCAGCCGTTTCCCTGCCATCCGATGCAGGATCAGCCGAGGGCACTGCGCCGGGTCCCCGCACCCCAAGGCACTGCACCACGCCCCCGCACCCCAGGACACTGTGGCCCAGTCCCCGCACCCCAGGGCACTGCGCCGGGTCCCTGCACCCCAGGGCACTGCGCGAGTCCCCGCACCCCTGGGCCCCTCACCTGCTGCGGGAGAGGTTAAGCCCCACCAGGGTAGCTCAGCCACACGCTGGCGAGCAGCCGGCTCCGAGGCACCGGCGGACCCGGACACTCCATCACCCTCACTAATAAAATACAGCAAATCAAATTGTTCCTATTGATTGTTTATGTAACTATCTCGGGGCGGCTGATCAGTTAGGGAGCGGGGGAGGGGCGCTTGCCTGCATGACCCCAGAGAGGGAGTAGCTGGGGGCACGGGCAGCCCCCCCCATCCTGCCCTGCCACACGTGTCCTGCCGCCCTGGGCCACAGGACAGCCCCGGGCAGCTCCTGGCTCTGTCCCAGGAAGCACCGGCTTCGCCCGCTGACCGGTGGTGGTCATACGTGCTGTATGCCAGGGGATCTCTGAGGCTACAGCTGAGCCTGCGGCCACCACCTCCAAGGAATCTTCCCGCCATCCCTGGCAATCCCTGTCGTGTGGCCTGTCGACAGAGATGCACAACCTCCTGCCTGGCGCTTCACCACTATCTCTCCATCACAACAAACCCCCTAATGGACCGCCTAGGGGTCACCAGCTCCGGAGGGTGATGGGAGGAAACTGGGGGAGGGGCTTGAAGGAGGGAACACCCCGGCCACGCCCCCAACTGCGCCCAGCCACGCCCTGGCCACGCCCCACCAATCCGATTGCGTTCCGGTCACGCCCCCAGCTGCATCACGCCACGCCCCCAGCCACACCCAGCGGCGCCCCTCTGAGCAGATGCCCACAGCACTGGTGGGCTTGGACCCCATTTGGGGACATCTTAACCCCTCAGCGCCCCTGGGGGCCTCGGCACCCGCCTGCTGTAGAATCAGCCTGGGTCCCCCAAATCCATGAAGGAGAGGTGGGGGGCGGGGGGCGGGAGGAGGCTGCAGCTGGAAAAAGACCCGAGCAAGTCTGCCCAGGGAGCCCCCTCCCCACAGGCAGACACAGAGGCCCCAGGACAACTCCCCTGGGGCCCCCCAGAACCCCAACCTACCAGAGTCTGGAGCCCACACTCGCTTCCAATTCTGAGAAATAAACGCCTGCAGCCCAAAAGCCCCCCAGCACCCGGAGAGGCCCCGGGGTCCACTGCGCTGAGGGGAAACTGAGTCTGGGGGCTTCCTGAGCCAGAGTCGGTCTCACCGCCACTGCCACCCCACAATGCTGGGGCCAGTGCAGGGAGACGAGGCCATGCCCCGCCCTTCAGCAAGGCCCAATACCCCCAAACACCAAGCGTGCCCTGTGGGCGTAGAGTCTAGAGGGGCCAATGTCCCCCCTGAAGGAACCTTCTGGAAAAAGACCCAACTCTGCCCTCGAGCACTGTCCAAGTCCGTGTGGCAATCCAGTCCTTGTGCCCTGGTGCTGACACGACAGGGCAGGGAAGGCCACCCCCAGAAGGCAGGCCTGGGTCCTCCATGCGCGGCCCCGTGGCCTCTGCTGACTTTCCCCATCTGAGCAATGGGCACACCCCAGGCTGCCATGGGCCACGGAGGAACCTCACCAAAACCTGCCAGCGCCCTGGGCACACAGGAAGCGAGATGAGGACCAGGCTACGCTTACCCTGGACACGCTGGGGACGCAGGCACAGCAGACATCTGTGTGCCCAGGGCCGCCCCTGCATCCCCCCACACCAGCCATGCCCACGGAGCCAGCCGCCTGTTGGATTTCTGGGGCTCATAGCTGGGTTTGCATCACAGGTTTGCTGGGGGTGGGGGCGCTGGGGAGGAGGGGAGGGGCCCGACTTAAAGGGGCCACCACCCCCTTTTCAGAAACCACGCCTCAGTGCCCCGAAGCCCCCACCTGAGCCCACCCCCAGAGCCTCCCAGGGCGGGAGTCTCACCCACTCCAGGGCACAGTGGGTTTAGGACTCGGAGTAGGGGCGCCTCGGGCTGTGCGCTGGCCCCAGGGCCTGGCCTCTTGGATGGACATCTGTTCTCTGGCCACCCCTCGGGCTCTGCTTAGCGACCAGCCTGGGCAGCTCCTAAGCGGGCAGGGGCCCTGCACACAAGGTCAGAGAGTCCCGATGGGCAGCCAAAGCAGGGAGCAGCCCCCTAAGCCCCCCATTTCAGGCCAAGAGCGGGCAGAGCTGTCTCAGCCCAGCTCCTCCCCCAAACCTCCAGGGCACAGTGTGGGGGGTGCAGTTGGGCATCTCTAAAGGTGCCCACAGGGAGGCCCCACAGGCAGAGACAGCTGGGGGCTCCCCTGGGAGCAAGGCCTGGCTGCTGTGCAGACGACCCCCAACTCCCAACCTCCCCTGTGGGGCCGGGATGGGCTCGGGACCCTCCAGCACTCATTGTTGGCTCCGGCTCCGGCAGAAGCCACGGGGAGGGAAGACAGCCGTGATTTACACTGGGAACCCTCCGGGAAGCCCCATGAGGGGGGTGATGCATTCACATACCAAGACCACTGCGACCAGGGGCAACACCAGACAGCAAGGCAGGCCTCCCCTCGGCCCCACGCGCACCCCCAGCCCCCGCCAGGTCAGGGGTGGCTCCCCACCCCGACTCGGCTCAGCGGCCCTGCCCGCGGGGACTGAGTCTGCAAAGCCACGCGCGCACAGAGTGGCCTGAATCCTGGGCCCCAGCCGCGGGGGGGAACGTGCTGACTCGCAGGGAGCGCTTCCATATGTCAGAGCCTGAGCTGAGGCAGCCGCCCACCACACTTCCATGGCAGCGCCCCCGCAGGCGAGGTGGGGGAGGCCGCCGGGATTAGCATCCCCCACCCCTGACCTCTGGCCTCTCCTGCGCTCGGCCCTCCCCAGAGGACGGGGAACTGCGACTGGAGCCGGCGCCGACCACCGGCAGGCAGCTAAGTACCTTTGAGGAATCCCAGCCTGTTTTCTGCTCCAGCTCGCCTAACCGGTGCTAAATATAGAGTTATCAAGCGGCGTCTCTCTCCCGCCTGTGGGCCCGGGGGAGTCAGATGCACCCACCGCTCGGCCTGCCGTGGCCCGGCCACACCCCTGCGCCAGGCCAGCTGCCCCGCGCGCGGGTGGAGGGCAGGAGCGGGGAGCAGCAGGTTGGGTGCGCACCCACCTTCCCCCACATCCCCGCCTGGCACGCGGCTGCCGGTTGCTAGGGAAGGGGGACCGGCCTGTTCTCCGCGAGGCAGGCGGCGGCGGCTCCAGACGCTTGTCGGGCCGCCCGCAGCCTTCCCAGAAGCCGCTGACCTCCGGGAGGGACCGGCCAGAGACGAGCCCGGCTTGCCCGTGCCGGGGGCTGTGCGCCCCGGTGGGGAGGGCCCGGTTCAGCCCCTCAGGTACCCCCAGCCCTGCTGACAGCTCATTAGCACCGCGGCCTCGGTCCAGCCGGCCACATCACGCCGACGCCGCTCCAGACTGCGCCGATGGCCGCCCGTGATAAGACAGTCTCGGAGCCGCGGGCTGGGCACTCGCTGGGGTCACTCCGGGGCGTCTCGGAGGACGCGGGTATTTACTTTCCCCTGCAAACGCGCGGCCCGGGAGGGAGCAGCCCCGGCACCGGCTCCTGCCAGCCGCCTCCCCGGCAGGCTGGGCTCAAAAGTTAAAGTTGCAACGTTCTGGTGCATCCTGGTGTCGGTGCGGCTTGTTTGTCAAGAAAAGGAGAATTGGTCTAAAGCGACCGGCGCGGGGTGCGGGTTTCCAGGGACTGGGCGAACCGAGCCGGGGAGGGCTGCGCGCGGGGCCTCGGGGGTACCCGGCCGGCCGGAGGCGGGGAGGCCGGGCCGCAGCCACCGGGAGGATCAGCGTCCCCCAGGACCAACACGTCGCCAGGCGCGGCCGGCAGTGCCCAAACTCCAGCGCTCTGCGGCCGCAGCTGCCCGCCGAGAGCCGGGGCGGCATCGCCCTGCCGGGGGGCCGCGGCGCGGGGGCTCGGGCGTCCGAGGGGGGCGCCGGGGAGGGGAGGGCCGGGCGCGGCGCGGGGGGCGCCGCAGAGGGGGGCGCCGGCAGGGAGGGGCTGCGGCCCAGCGCGCCCCGCTGGGCCCACCGTGACCTCGGGGCGGGGGTCCCGACGCGCGGGCGAGGGTCGGAGGGTACCGCGAAAGCCAGAGATGGGGCCGCGGACTCGCCGCCACGGTCGGGCCCGGGGTGGGGGCGGGGGGCGCTGAGGCCCCGCGCGCGGCCGGGAGGGGCACCAGGGGGGCGCGCTGCCCCCTTCCCGGGGAGGCCGAGCGCACCCCACTCGGGGGCCCGGCGCGCCCGGAAGGAGCCTGGGGAGGGGGAGGGGGCGCCGGGCCGGGCCCCCGGGTCCCAGGGTGCCCCCGACCCGCCCGCCCGGGGCCCGGGGGAGGAAGTTTGCGCGCGGGGGGCCGGGGCGGGGGCGGGGGCGCGTTACCTGGGCACGGGAGCGCCGTGAGCGCCAGCAGGAGCCCGAGCGGCGGCGGCGCCCGGCGCGGGGCCCGCATGGTCCTGGGCGCGGGGGGCGCGGCGGGGCTGCTCGGTCCGCCCTGGGCCCGGCGCTAGGCGCGAGCGCCCGGCATGTCGCGGCTCCCGGGAGACGCGGCGCTTGCTCGGCGGCCTCCGCGCGCTCCCCCGCCTGGGCCGCGCTCAGCGCCGCGCGCCCTCGCCCGCCGCCCCGCACTTGGCCCGAGTTGCGCGGCCCCCGCGGCCCCGCGCCCGGCCCATCCCGCCGCGCCCGCTGCCGGCCCGAGCCCCGAGCGGGAGCCGCGCGGGAGGCGGAGGCGGCGGCGGCGGCGGCGCGGGAGGCGGCGGCGGCGGCGGCGGCGCGGGCGGGGCGCGGGGCGGGCGGCGCGCGCGGACGGGGCGGGCCGGGGCGCTCGCGGAGCGGGGCGCGCGCCGCCGGGGGTGCCCCGGGGTCGGGGGTCCCGGGGGGTGGCGGCGCCGAGGACGCGGGGGTCCCGAGACACCCCCCACGGCGCCGTCGGGGGGCGCACCGGCCCAGAGGATCCCGGTTTCCCGGAGGGCGCGCGGGGGCGCCGAGCCGGACGGGGGTCCCGCGGGGGCGGAGGGAGGGGCTTTTCCACCCCCGGAGGCGGGCCGGGGGGCGCTGACTCTGGGATTGGAGCTCAGAGGCTCCCCGGGTGTCACCCCACGCCCACTCCGGCCCGTGTCCCCACCCCAGTGGCCGGGTCTCCGTGACAAAGTGGGTCACATCTCCGGAAACGGTCACCTGGGGAGCAGACCGGGACGGGAGCTCCTGCGTCACTGAATCCTGGCTGGGCACTGTCCACCTGGGCGGCCTGCCGGCTCGACACCAAGCCCCGCGGTGCCCGCTGGAGGCCCTTGGCAGAGGCGGTGTCTGTCAGCTCACCTGCATTACCGGCTCCGTTACCGTCTCGTTACTGTGTCTCATTACTGTCTCCTTACTGTCTCGTTACTGTCTCGGTTACCGTTACTGTTACTGGCATCTCCTCGGAGACCCGAGGCCTGAACCTCCCCTGCACGGACAGTCCCCTCCAGGACCGACAGGCTCGTTGCTGGCAGGAGAAAGGAGAAAGGGCAAGGGCGTTTCTACCCAGCCAGTGGCATCAACTATAAGGAAGCCCACCCTGGCCTGGCTGGGAAGCCAGACTGGGCGCCGGGCAGAGGCTGGAGGCGGCCGTTTCTGCTGTGCCCACTCCCAGCACTCCTGAGATCCCAGACCTGAGACGCTTTGGGGGCAAGGGGGGGGTCAGTCCAGCAGGACCCTGCCTAGGGCACTGACCTGCCCCTGCCCCTTCTTGGGTGGGCCTGGCACAGTGGCACATCTACCTCCCCCTGCACTCAGCCTCACCCCTCCCTCCACTAGCACCCCTCACTGCACCCCACCCCTGCTATTCCCGCCTAGAGCCCCTGTGTCCCCGGGTGGCACAGTGTTCCCGCATCTCTCCTGAGATCTCAGGGGCCCCCTCCTCAGTGAGGCCTTCACAGACTGCCACGTGGAACAGGAGGGCTCTCTCCTGCAGACAGCCCCAGGAATGCCTGCCTGCCAGCACACTCCAGGTGGATGTGACACCAGAGGACACGGGTCATCCTCGAGGGGGCTTCTCCACATCCCGATGCTGCACGTGCTGTGGAGGGGAAGATCCAGACTCTCACTGCACCCACACACACACAGGAAACCTGCCTGGATCCTGAAGGGCTCAGGGGAAGATGGGGCTGACCCAGAGCCCAGTGCTGACCCCTCCCGTCCTCCCACCCAGCAAACCTGGAATCTCCCTCTCAGAGAAGGGATGGTAAGATTCCTGCCGCCCAAACTCTCCCCTGTACACAGATGGGGAAACTGAGGCCAGGAACAGCCTGGGGGGGCAGACCCATGCAGGAGCCAGCTGACATCCCCTCCTCCGTGCTAGGCTCCCGGTTCCGCCACCCACCCAGCCGCTGCCCCCCCCTTCCGCCCCGCCCACCCCATTCTGCCAGCTCGGCCCACGCGCCCCCACCCCCGCGACCAGCGTAGAGCGACACTGCCACCTGGTGGCAGCCTCTAGTACTGCGGGACTCGCCCGCGCCGCGGAAGGGAGGAAGGTGGACAGGGCGGGGACAGGGCGGCGGCCAGCAGGGAGAGCGGGGAGACCGTGCCCGCCTTGCCCGGCCGACAGAGACTCCAAACGACCCCCCTCCGCTCGCCGGCGCCCGCGCGCGCTCCGTGGAGGGCCGGGATGTTTACAGGGCGAAGCTATCCGGCTCCCGTGCAGACCCGCAGCTGAAAGCCAGCGCCACTGGGGTCGTGCTCCCGCCACTGCGCGTGGGGAGGGGGCTCCCCGCGGCCCAGAGCTCAGGGCGTGGGAATCGAGGCTGCCGCCTGCGTCCACCTGGGCAGCGACGCAGGAGCTGGCGGGGACCCTCAGCACACCCGCTCCAGTCCCCTGGCTGACTGACTTTGTTATTCTGCATCGCAACTGAAGCAGCATCCTGGGGTGGGTGTTTCCACCGAGCACAGGGAGAGGATTCTCCGATCACCCCTCGGCACCCTGTTCTCACACACACACACACACTCTCTCTCTCTCTCTCTCTCTCTCTCTCTCTCTCTCTCTCTCTCTCTCTCACAAAGCAACCCCCAACGTTCACTCCATCCTGTTGCACTGAAGCACAGCTGGGGGGAGGGTGGGTGTCGGGAGGGGAAAGGACCCGCGGGGGTAAGTTGAGCCTGAAGAGATTGTAGCAGAAGACCCCGCCTGCATGCTTGCAGGTGTGAGGGCGGGACTAGACCTGGGGGGGGGGGGGGGAAGACTGGAGTGTCCCCTTCAGGAAGCATCCACTGCGCCCCCCCCCCCCGGGGGGAAACGGCTCTTAGTGCAATTAAGGAACCTAAACAAGGTCCTGGGGCTTCCCAGAATCAGGGTGTGTGCAGGGCTGACATACCCCTAATCTAAGATGCACGTGAGCACCAGAGGGACCCCGCGGCCCTTGCCTTGCACGAGGCCAAGTTCAACACCCCACCCCGTGTATGGGGTGAGCTCCACCTGAGCTCCACCCAGAGCGACCCCTGGGCCAGAAGGGGCCCGAAGCACAGCACAAAACCAACACTGCACCTACGGGCCGCGCGCCTGCTCCACACGTGGTGCCCAACACGCCCCAAGCGCATCGCGGGTGGCCCAAGCCCGGCAATAAATTAATCTACTGTAGAGCCGTGGGTGAGAGCCGCGCTCCTGCCAGGCCTGCACCCCAGTCCTCGACCCTGCCTAGGGCCCTGCCTCCGCCCAGAGCTGGGGGCGCCCCGGAAACACAGCTGGGCTGGGGCTGCTGCTTCCTGGGGGGGTCGGGATGAGGTTGGACACGGAGCCCCACCTGTGACGCCCAGTCTTGCGCTGTCCCCCAGCCAGTTCGCCCACACAGCGATGGATCTGACCCCACGCAGGCTGAGCCACGCCCATTGCCCACGCCCCATCAAAACAGTATCTTCCTCCCAGAAGCTCCCATTGGCCAGAGAGGCCACGTGCTCCGCACCAGCTAATCACAGCCCTTCGTGTTGGTCACGTGGTAAGCTCTAACCAATGGTGTCGAAGGGGCGTGTCCGCCGACTTCCGGCTGGATGAAACTGATGAAGGCCACTGGGTCCTTGCACCGCCTCCGGCCTCTTGGGCAACCTCGTGGGTTGGGAGGTTTTGTGTGACCATTGGCGGGGGCGGCAGGCAAGCCCCAGCAACCTCCCTTCAGCCCGGGCCCTTGGGTGACCACTGCCAAGCAGACGGGGACCTCCCCACACCCTGGTGGGCAGTGTCAGCCCAGATGCGCCCTTCCCCAACTTGCCATTCACTGAGATGATTGCAAATCGATTACTTGCCACCAAAGGCGGGTCAACTGATCACGACCAATACAGGAAAAGGCCCTAATGGCCTGTGACGGTATTTACTGCCGAGCCGAAACACTTAGGCTACCACGAACTCTATTTCCCTGCTCTGGACACCGGGAGGGTTGACTCATCTTTTCCAATTACTGCTGCTGGCAGTAAAAAGAAGCGGGCCTGAGCGGTGGGGACCTGAGACAGGGCTCTCCGTCTTCCCCGCTCTCCCACCAGCCTTGGGCACACCTGCCCGCGTGGAAAGAGGCGCAGCACCGACTCCTGGAAGGTTTGCACTTGGATGGTGTCTCCTGACGGCCTTGCCAGCGCGAGCCCCGGGAACGCAGTTGCTCACCACTCAGTTCTCGGTGCTGAGCACCGGGGCTCGCACATCCGCAGCTCGTCTATGCTCGGCCACCTCCTCCCCCTCCCCCTGCCAGGGCCGCTTCTCCCGGGAGAGCTTGGGCGACGGACGGGAAACTGTCCCAAACCCCAAGCGTATATGACAAGTGCCCATTTGCCCAGGACTTGATTTGAGTTCTGCAAACTCAACCTTGTTCTTTTTTTTTCATCTTTAATGTAGTGCACTCTGGTTCATGCAATTAACAAAAGATTTCTCCTGCAGGTTAGTCCATTGCACAACGTGAATTTATAAATGTCAAGAAGCCGGCGATGAAACCGGTAAATGTGTGCGACCATCACCAGTCCTAACTTTCTTTCCCATCACTTGTAATTTCCCGATCTTCTGCCCTTTGGTAAATAGGTATGCCTTCCCCATCTGCATAGCTCTTTCTCTTGACTACTTATACCTACGTAGGCTTTTTTCCCCCTTAATTTCCCTCACAAATTATGTTTATTCTTTAATCTTTGTTGAAGAGAACTTCCTGTGGGAAAATTAGAGAGCATTTAGGACGACGCCAGGATTCACGTTAATTAGCTTCCCCGGTCTGCAGCTCCACAGAGGCCCAGGAAGTGACTCAACGCAGAGTGTGTGTGTCCTTCACGGCCGGGCTGGGGCGGGATTCCAGGGAAACGAACCCAGTGTCAGCTCCTGTCCAGCCTCAGGGGTCCCCAGGCCCACACCTCCTCTCTGGGGTGGAGGTCTGGCTCATCTTGGAATTAATTTGTCAAATCGCTGCATTTAGCCCAAAAAAGGGGGGCTGCGAGAGGGCTGGGGAGTAGCCCGGTGCGGAGGCGTTTGCAAGCATCCCACATGGCCCCTGAGCACCACGCCTGTGGCCCGGAGACAAGAAAGAAGAAAAACACAAAAAGGGAGGCTGAGAGATTTCGTCCGGCCTTTGAATACAGAATTTTTTTTCTCATAACAAAAACCACGAAGTCTGAACCAGAGCCTCGCGCACCCCACTTCCACTTCCGCTTCCGGGCTCTGCCAAGCGCGCCGGTCTGGGAGGAAGCGCATTGGTCACAATGGGGTCATGTGCCGGTGTCTTGACCAGTCGCTGAGCCTGTGGGGTGGACTGTGCTGATTGGCTGGTCCTGGATCACGTGTCGTGGCTTCGCCACGGCATGCAGGTGGTTGAACCGGGGCCTGATGCCAGCCAGCCCTGCCAGCTCTGGCAGGACCCCGCCTCAGCCCTGCCTGGTCAGTCCTCTACTCCCCGGCCAATGTCAAGGTGCTGAGCTGCCCCCAGTGGCCAAGGTGCTTCTCTCCGCGTCCCCCCCTGGGTCTGGCGCTCAGAGTTTGCTCTGTGTCTGCACCATGAACTTGAGCAGGGCAGGACAGAGCCCCAAGCCCTGAGACCAGCTGACAGCCTATGGACTAGGCTGGCAGGGAGGGCGGAACTGGCTGGCAGTGCTGGGTCCCTGCCACAGAGACGCCTGTGGCCGTACCACCACCTCCAGGCAGTCCTCCGGTGTCTGCCGTAACAGGAGACAGGGAGTTTATTAGATGCCACCTTGCTGTCCCCGTGAGCAGAACATCTTTGCCACCATGCCACCTAAATCTCCTTGCAATCATCTCCTTGACATTTACAAATTCATGATGTATAATGAACTAACCTGAGGTGAAAATCTTTTATTAATTGCCTAAAACAGCA